CCAAACAACACTCCCGCGGAGGAACTTTTCCCCCCCGCCGTCGCCCTAAATGTATTATCTTAGTCGTTCCTCACAACCAACCATGCCGTCCTTCCTTTCGCCCGAAGCTCGCAGCCAGCTACTCTCCGCATTATACCTGCATCTCCGGATTGGTGAGGTCGGCGGGGAGGTTAGCCCCGAAGCCTATGCTAGACTTGGCGATTCGGTTGTTGATGAGGTGCTCCAGGCCGGCGAACGCGCCCCCGCAGATGAAGAGTATGTTGGTCGTGTCCACTTGGATGAAGTCTGATCGAGGGTTCTTGCGGCCCCCGTCCTTCGGCACGTTGACGATGGCGCCCTGGGTGGATCGCAGTGGAAAACAAGTATTCACGGGGGAAGGGTTGAGACATGGTTGGCGTGCTGCAGGGCATGCTCAAGCTGGTGGATCGTTGTAGAACAAAAAAAAAACACTGCAGAAGGGCTGAGACATTGATGGCATGCTGCAGGGGATGCACACAGTAGGGATATTGTGATGTCCATATGGTGGTAGTAGCACAGGTTAATGAGACAGCAGTTTGCACGACGTCGTCTCTAAAACGCACATGAGAGGACGGGGTACATGCCGAACGTGGATCGGTAAGAAGTTGAGCTAGGGGAAACGATGCCCGCAACCCATCATTCGCATACTACAACGACAAGACCGCAACCAAAGGAAACAAACCAAGAACAATAGGCCGAGAAACACACACACAATAGAACAAAGAAAAACAATAGAGAAACAAACGGGACTTGCCTCTAGGATCTTGAGGAGAGCCTGCTGCACGCCCTCCCCGCTGACGTCGCGGGTGATGCTCACGTTCTCCATCTTCCTTGAAATCTGACAAAAAAAAAAATTCATAAGATATGTGTTTGAAAAAGATCACTTCAGGCAAAGAACAGCGCAGCTTCCACCACGGTGCGATGGACGTCTGGTCGACAGGAACTTAGTGTCTCCACCGCTCAAAAAATAGACCAAAACATGGTATTTCTTTACACTGGAACGAATCCATCCCACTTGCGTCATCATCACCGACACCACATGTGCATTCAGGTAGCGGCAAACCAATTACCGGCAATGTAGCATAGCATTCTAAATACTTTCGTAGTGTGGACTATGTCAAGATTCTCGAATAGGTCATGGGACAATAAAAAAAATATCAGTTGGCCGAAAACCAAATCCACAAAAAAAACTACCGCCACAGCCCAAACATTTGTTCGTAGGACTTAAAATTGTCGAAGAGTAAGACCCAAACCAAGCATAGTGTGACGTGTTCATTCAATGTCGCTAGGTTTAAGAACGCTAGGTTTAAGGCCAGAAAAAAACTCAATCCGCCACAGAGAAACCCAAAAACAATATATGCTCATCACGAAACATGTCAAAGCGCAACTACTGGGAGGGCCAACCAAATGCAGACCTAACCTAACCAAACCTTGTCGATCTCGTCCAGGTAGACGATTCCGCGTTGGCAGCGCTCGATGTCCTGGCCGCTCTCCATGTACAGCTTGTGCAGGATGGACTCGACGTCTTCGCCCACGTATCCGGCCTGCGGACCGGACCCACAAGGAGAGCGAGCAGACAGACCGGGAAGGGGCCCCGACGAATCAATCAAGGGACCCAGGGGGCACGCCGATAGTCCTGACGTGGTATGGGCCCTGATGCATACCTCACGGCAATCCCACATCCTACGCTAGGCAAGTTTTTTTCCCTGTTTAAGCCACGGTTGCCAAAAAAAAGCTTGTTGCACCATTTACAACAGTCCTACATGCAGCCGCGTGGTGAATCATGGTGCGCCAAGACTACGGACGAAAACAAACGTTGATACCGAAAACAAACGAACGACATATGAAACTACAACAAACGTATCTGCGAAGAAACAAGAAATAAAAACCCCACCTGACAAAACACTGCACACACACCCGCAAACAAAGTAGCAGCCTTGGTAGACATGTGCCTTCTGGTTCTACCGTTGTCTAAAAAGCCGATATTAGTTTAGCCTACCCCATGACGTCCTCTCACGGGGTCCCAGACCACGGCCTTCAGAAGCGTTTTCTGTTTTCAACCGCGCTGAGACTGACGTATCTTGATTGGCCAGCCAATAACCGCGGTCGATGCCAACAACAAAGACACACACACACAAGCACACACCTGTGTTAGGCACGTCGCATCGGCAATCACGAGAGGCACGTCTACCAGCTTCGCCAGCGTCTTGGCCAGCAGAGTCTTGCCCGACCCCGTGGGCCCGACGATCATCACGTTCGTCTTGTCGAGGACCACCGGCTCCACCTCGATCCCGTTCGACAGGTTCAGCTTAGCCTTTTGGACGTCCTGCTGCAAGGGAGCAACCGAGGGAGCGGGGCATTGGGAGGTGTTGCTCCTTGTGGGCGGTTGGTCCGTGGTGTGCATGAACCTCAACAACGTCGTCATTATCAGCAGTAACAAGTTCTGGTGCTTAAACGAGGCGGGTTTAACGGAGAACTGCTGCCAACGTATCGACACAACATTCCACCCTCGAGCCCTGTTAGCTGCCTGCGACAAGCTTGGGCGATGTACCGGTACCAGCTTAGTACATAGTGCAAGACTGGAAGGGGTGTGGCGTGTGGGCACGACGAAGGGGAAACTTACCTGCACATTGTCTTGTGGAGGAGGAGGCGGTTCTTGCTGCTCCTGCTGTCGCTGCTGGTGCCGTTGATACTGCTGGTACTGGTGCTCCTGCATTTGCTGCTGCTCAACAGCCGACAGGAGAAAAGAAACAAGAACGTTCCGCGGGGAAAGACGCGTCATGTACTGCATGTACCATGGAACAGGAGCACACAGCGATGGCTAACATCTGTCTGCCATCCCGTTGTCTCCTCTGCATACAACAGAAACGACCGGTCCCCACCGCCATACCGCACTCAAGCCTCCATTCCTCCCCCCCCCCCCCTCTACAGCTACCTTTCCCATGCCAGAATTTCATTATTTCATTCTTGCCTACATCGAAAAATGTTGTCGCCCCAGCTGTATTGCCTTCCCCATCACAGGGGAAACGTGGGACAAAAACAGAAAAAGTCCCTGTTTTACCCCCGGCTGATACGTCAAATATATACCGAAACATGCAGACTAGCGCCACAAAACACCGGACGAAACACACACGTGACCACACACACTTGAGGAGTTACGTCCCGATTTTACGTTACCCAGGGCAATTCCTCTCTGCGGTTCATGTCTTCACCTGTACTGCGAGAAGCGCATCAATTCTCTTCGAGCATGTCCTCTTACCCCCCATTGTCAACATTAAGTCAAACATGGCATACTGCTCACGATTAGTGTGCTCTTTCTGATTAGTTGTGTTAAGCCGGGATTCGAACCCGCGACCTTGACCATCCAAAGGATTCCAGAATACCTTGGGCTCCTCAAAAGTACAGCATTTTTTTTTTTTTGGTCTTCACTTCAAATCAGCGCTCACAGCTCTAGTGTCGTTTACTCCAACCCGTGGTCGCACAGAAGAGCCCCTCTCTACCCTACCCTCCTGCGGTACTTTGCCTTCGATTTTTAATGCGAGAAGAGTTCAGCACTCTCTTCCCTCTGTGTACACACGAACTAGCGCTATCCACTTGGCCAGAAGCGGAAGCGAGAGAAAAACTCACTTAGCAAGAAAAGCTCGCCTACGCCGGGATTCGAACCCCTGACCTGACCTCTAGAAGGTTTCGAGGATACCAACTAGACAGCATGCACGCCTGTTATCAATTGCCGGTTCCTTGAAGACACACAGCCGAAAGCAAGCCTAATTCCCCCGATCTAGCTTTGCACATGGTTAACCCGGCACACACAACACAACGACACCAATCGCTCGTGCCACACCAAATCCATATTCCCCAGCTCCTTGCTACGCCTACATTCAACGAAATCTGGTTCTTGGTAACTACCGCTGTGGATCGCCCTCTTCTCCCCCCTCTCATATTTTCTCTCAAGGATGCTGCGGTATCCTCACCTTGCCCCCGGACCCTACCCATTGCTGCTGCTGTGGCTTCGCCATGGCGTCGTGATCGGCGATGCCAGGCAGTTGGAGGTCTACGTCACTCAACGTCTGCTCCAAGGCCTGCACAGAGTAACACCCATACAAACAAACAGAACACACAACCATCCGTGAGTGTGTTACTGTTAATATAATGTTGTAAAACGTCACTAGCTGTGTCCATTGTCGCCTCTATCGATTACCTCCTGCTCCATGGTGGCCCAATCGGCACGCATTCCTTTTGCGTGGTCGCACACCGAGTTATACGGGTCGAGAATAAAAAGCCGACCTCAGGCATCAAAGGCCTTGCATCAGTGTACGCCAGGGTTTTTCGGTCAACATCAGCAACATTTTCGGAAATATTACAGGTAGGATCCGTGACAGAACTGAGCGACGTCCTATACGTGTACACACGCCCGTTCGCACCCAATTTTTCGCAATACACCATCAAACCAGGGTGTGATTTCGGGGGGCAAACTGCAAACCCTCTGTTGCACAGCAGTACGGGATGCACTTGATTCTAATGGCTTGGGTTTATTATACCTTTTGTGTAAGTGTAATCCTGGGGGCTCTGCTGCACGGACGATGGCTCCTACTGTGCTATCTGAATGTCTTGTTCTTCTACGAACAAGCATTTTTTTACCTCCAGAGTTCATTTGGCGTTGAATGACCCTCGCCTCCGCTGTCTTTGTTCACTCTTTATTAGAAAGTACACATAATTTCACGGCAATTGGTTCAGCACAGCACCAGTGGCATCTGCACTCGATGGTGCCTTGTTTGCATGCCGAGTTGACCCATGGCACGAACACTTTTTATCGTTCCTCTCGACAAGTCGTGCATGCCGCGAGGCTTGAGGCACCCATCCCACGCCTACGTAAGCCCGCCCCACCAACGTTTCGCTTCCTTTCGTCGAACAAGGTCTAGATACTACTTGACCCCGCCACTGATGTCGCCATCCAGCGCAGCGGGATAGTTCTAGCACGGTGGATCCCTTGGGGGGAAAGACACTCAAACGTTCCCCTCGAGATCCCAGAACAGCTGCGCCACACATTCAATGGAAGAAAAAGTAATAGGCGGAAAAGAAAATGCTACGCGAGCCGCTGGGAGGGGGGGTGGTGGGGCGCTGTCTGCATGGCCAAGCGCTGAAACCTTAGACCCCCAAACACCTAAACGACCGAGATGAAGCATGTCAGGAGGGTATCCCCGGGTCACGAGCAGTTTATCCAGCAATTGAGGATAAACGGATGGGCCGATCAGGCAGCTACCACACCGATTGTTTTGAACGTCCTCTTCTATCTTCTACATCATAATACACAAATATATAAAATAATCTTAAGTGCTGCTATCTACATGTGCAAGCAGGGGGGAGGGAGAGGTACCTCAGGTGGTGGTGCGTGTTGCACTCTGTGGGGCCCCGGCTGCTCCGTCGGCGGGCACACGGAGATTCGCTTGAAGTGGTTGTGCATCCCCACAGCTAAGGCGCGCTTTACGTTGTGCTGCACGGCCCAAAGAGAGTGGGAAACAGATTGAGGCAACGGGTCAACGCGGCAGTTGACCCGTCGGACTAGCATCAGACCGGGAACAACCAGCCAATGTCAGGAAGAGTTCTTGCTCAGGACTGCTACAACGCGAAACACGAACAGCTTGCCTTTAGCTGCCAACGCAACAGTAGTCTTGACAAAGGCGATGTGAACGAGTATTTCATGATTGGATCATCACATCGTTCAACAGTCAGTCAACAACAAACCGCGCCCACAAGAGAAAGCATCTCTCATCATCTAAGTATCCAAAGATGCAAACACTCGGAGCCACTATATGCTACAAATGGAGCACGGCCACTTGGGAGAGAAAATGCAAACTACAACAGACCACCTTTCATACCATCGAGTTCTGAACTATAAAATAAATTGAACGGCGTGGGCGCGAAATCAAACCGACCGTTGGGCACCGCCCGACAAGGACCACCTGAACCAACACCATACTACCACCACCCATTGTCTTTGCATGTCTCCTCCGCGTACCCCCGCCCCTTGAGGTGATCTCTGTCCAAGCACACGACAATAGCAGCCTCCAACGTGCTTCCTTGACGCAGGGACATATCATAAAACGGCAACCTCCAAAACACACCGCACCACAATTCTGCGGTACCCTGGAAGACCGCTCACCTGTCCGATCACGTGCTCCGAAAGCTTCTCGTAAATTTCCTTGGGCAGCAGATCCGCCGCCCATCGTCGATCCGGCCCGATTCCGGCGCCCCCGCTGCCGCCGCCGTCACCCCCGTCTCCCACAGCATCCACGGGCGGGGATTCTCCCCCCCGCGCCCCTCCCCCTCCCTCCCCCTTGGAAAACGCCCCCGGGTGTTGTTGTCGAGAACTTCCATCGCCCGCGAACGGGCTCGCGAAACCGCCACGACCACCATCAGCACCAACCCGACCATTCCAGGCGTCTCGCACCCCGCTGACCCCCCCCCGCCCCCCAGACCAGCTGGTCCGACCCCCGGCCGCCGCGCCCCCCCGCCGCGCTTGTTGAGACAAGTCCGAGCTGAGCTTGAAGTTCTGCGAGATGCCGTCCTGCAGCTCTCGCTCCAGGCTACCGTGGGGCGTGTGTGGGTTCGGCGGGGTGAGCGGCGGGGACGGTGGAGGCGGGGGCGGGCCGGACCGGCGGTGCGAGTCCGGAAACACCTGCCCGATGCCCGGGTGGCTTGCTCCTGGACCTATGCTGGAGGCTGAAGCCCGGGGTGATACCTATTGGGGCAATAGTAAAACAGAGAGGTTTTTTATGTGCTGCGTGGAGCTCGATGAGCTCCTGCGTTACAATTCGAAGGAGGGGTGGTGGGGAGGGGGGATGCCACGAATCCCAGAAAGGGAGTATCTCAAAAAACGATATAATATCGAAAATGCCAACGTTGGCGGCAGGTGGGCGAACACACGCTCCCGATGTGTACACTACATATGTGCTTTGAATCCATTATCATTCTCTGGGCGTACGGGTATCACGCATGTTTTCGTATGGATACTCGGTCAGAACTGGAAGGAATACAAGTCCGCCCGCGTCAGGCACGATGCCTTCTTCATCAAAATGTCAAGAACACGACCAGCCCTCTGTGCTTACTGGTCAGCTCAAGGCGCGTCCCATCGTAAAGATATCTATTCCCAAACTGGCTTGTTAGAGTGGTGAACCACGTAAAGATGCCGTTGGTTAACGACGTCGTCAAAAGCGCTGTGCTTCTTCATCCCGCGATCTTCAGGTAGGTCCGACCTAGGCATGGAACCGCCTCGGAGAACTGATAGATCGACTTGAGGAAAACATGGTAGGATTTGGCCGCAATCATGACAACTTTGACGTGGACGACAGGTGTACCTGCTATCCACGTGGTACTTCAACGCAAATACGAAACAACTCGGCGTCACTCAATTACTTGAATGCTGTCAACAACAAACATACACGAATCAGTCAATCACCATGCCAAGGTCGACACACGCTTTTTCCTTGTAGCTCGATCCAGCAAGTGCAAGCGGCGGGTGTGGGCGCGTGTCACAACGAGAGTAAACATGCTATAATAGTGCGGCGTGACCAGGCTCGACAGGGGGAGAGATGAGATTGGAGAGATGGTTTTGGAGAAGAAAATACAGATCTTGTACACCCAACTCACGCTAGCGCCCTCGATGTTCCGAGGCGTCCACTTCGCCGGGGAACATTTGGGGCAGCGCGTAACGAACATTCCCTGCAGGTCCCTGCGAGTCTCCAACACGACGTGGCAAGTGGGACATGTCGGCCTGCCCGCGCCGGGACGCTGCGCCTTGGTTGTTGAGTGCCGTCGAAGTTGCAGTACAGCACTGCTGCTGCTGCTGCTGCTGCTGCTGCTGCTGCTGCTGCTGCCGACCCTCTGGGCGTTGTTGTTGTAGACGACAGATAGTGCTGCTGGCTGTAAGGTGGAAAGGGAGAAAACAAGACAGAGGGGCGGGAGCGTTGACGACGAGGGTGGGAGCGTGGGCATTGCTCGCGGGCGCGTGCCGTGTACAAGTGTCACTGCTGTCTCTCATGCATCAACAAGAGGATCGACGATCACACGCATCTCTTCTCTCACACACATCAGTACATCTCCATGCCTTGTACGTCGCCATCAAAGTCCCTCTACAGAGCAATCCCCGCCAATGGACGCCTTCTCGGCTGTAGCTATACCTGCCGCACCGCCCGTCTCAGCAGAGTCATCTTCCCGCTGTGTCGGCTGTCAAGCTCAACTTCTCCGAACTGCTGCAACTCCGAAACACTCCGAACAAGCTTGTTCTTGTAGGTCAATAGAAGTGGTACCCGGCGTTGTCCTTGTGTCTCAACAATGAATGTCGCTGCTCCTGCTCGTTTGTCGTCGGGGCCGGCTTTCGCTGGAAGGTTGGAACACGTGTGCCTTTCCGTGCTTCACACCCTAGACTAAATCATAAGCGTGCTTTGCTTTCCGCTCTTGTTGGAAAGTCATCCGGCGCGTGCAGCTCTCCTCTTGAAGAGGTTTTCCACAGCAGTAGTGACGGAAGGCGTGCGAGACAGGGTACCTGCTGCAGAATTTACTCTGCGGTGCCGCTAGGCCTCTTGTCTTGACCGCTTTCTGTCTTGTGCTGACTGCGTGTGTTGCAACACAGCAGTAGCTCTCGTTTGCTACATACGCTCCACCCCTTTTCTACTGCAGTAGCCTGTGCGCTGAGGTAGAGACAGCAACGGTGCTATGAGTCTCCGATCGTCCCGAGCACCGCGAGTACCCTATGTCCCTCCAGCCGCGAGGGCATCATCTGCGCATGGACCAAGTGCGGACGGATACACTCGACGAGGACACGACACAGCAGCAGCCACTAGCCAGCCACGCCAACAGGGAAAGGCTGCAGATGGCGAAACCGTAGACGAGCAACAAGCAGAAGTGACCAATGGTTCAACTCTACCGGCGGCAAAGGCATGGGGGTGCACCAACCTGGCGACAAAAGCAGCACCGGGTGCGGCTGTACCAGCATCAGCAGGAGACGAGACGAGGCCAGACGAGGTACTCCTCCCACCGCCAGCGGACCGCGACGACAGCATAAAGGATAAAGTCTCCGACCAGCCCGCACCAACTCGGCAGGACGTGAACCACACCGCGCTTCCCGCTGCCGAAAGGAGGAGAAAACCCAGGCAGGCGTGGGCGCAGTACGTGCCGCCTGGCCGGCGAGGTGGCGGGGCATCCTCCGCCTCCTCCGTTCCTGCAAGCAGCAGCAGCGGCAACGAAAACCACTCCTCTTGCCCCCGTCCAGAAGACACCAACAAGTCAACGTCGTCGAAGGCAAGAGACGGTGGATCGAGCGAGAGGAAGGGAAGCCGTCCGGCGCTGAAAGAGAAGCCGAGCGTTGTTGTCGTCGCCGACGGACCAGCTCCAGCAGACCAACAAGAGGGTGCATCCGAGCAAACGACCACGACAAGTACAACGTCGTCGTCGTTGTGCCACGCCCACGGCGATAAAACCGGTGCGAAGGCCACTGCGGCACCCCCCCTGGAGAGTCAGGCGTCCTGTCCTCCTTCTCCAGCCAAAAACAGGGAGGGCAGCAGTAGGACCAACGGTGCCTCCACGGAACCTACGGCAACATCGGCTCTCGACCGGACCAGCGAAGAACACCAGGACGGGGAAAATGCCCCCGCCGCTTCGGAGGCCAGACAAAAGATCGTTGAGCCTCCTCCTGCCAGCGACAGCAAGAGATTCGAGGAAAACGTCACCGGGGACAAGAAGGAAGATCAAGAGCTACCGGCATTCAAGCCGCCAGCAGCCAGATACGTACCGCCGGGCCGGCGAAAGGCCCTCGACGCAGAGTTAGCAGCAGCCGCAGATTCCGGCAGCAGCGGTGGCGCTGCTGCTGGGGACGGGATGGGTCCCCTGTGGACATCTCGAGCGCCTGTTCGTGTTAGCCAGAGGGAGCGGCCGTCGGACAGGGATGCGAGCCCCGCCCGTCGCCCCGCGCCTGCGCGTGTGGCCCACGTGGTCAGCGGCGGCATGTCGGCGTACGGCACCAACATCTCGGAGTATTCCGGTACGTTGCGTGTTCGGGACACGCGTGCAATGATCGATCCTCCGCTTGTATTGTGCACGGTAAGAAACAGCGCCAACACGGTGTCACGCACACATTCTCGCCGCTCGCCACCCCTATCCTAGCTGCATCAGCTCTGGCAGACCAACGCCCTTCATTCCACAAGTCCGAGGAGATAGAGCAGTGTCATACCACGTACGAAGGTCCGAAAGGTGTGCATAGGTTGACGTGTAGACCCAGGCGTCCATAACTGCTAGGATACACAAAAACACAAAAAATGCATGCACGCATCATGTATCGTGCTTCCCGCGATCTCCACTTGAATCTGGTCTACTACGTTCGTCGTAATTACTCCCCCTGTTGCGCAGAGGAAATGAGTCGAGAGCAGGTGGAGGCATGTACGGCGGTGGTGTCCAACTTTCCGGTGGCGTTGCCTCCCGGCCAGCGCGACTCGATGCTGCAGTCCTTCGTCTCCCTAGGCGGCCTCGTCGTGTGAGTAACTCTTCGGTCGTACCAAACCTTTGAACGTGTGCGCGTGTCCTTGAGTTCGTCATGGTCGGCGGACTCAATGGTTCTATCGCCTGATAAATCATTCTTCGAAGCCAATGAGTGGTTTCTACCAAAGGATATTTCTTGTACGGTAGATGAAGTCGATGGATGTCCTTCGCAGTGTTCCGCGCAAGGCGTAGTTGCATGAACAAAATGAGGATTTCTGTCCGTTGAGTCCCCCAACGTGAAGTTTGTCCCGAACAGGCCCAACGTGTAGAAATCATCCTTTCACCTGCCCCCCCCCCTTTGCCCGATCAATATATATATTTTTGGTTTCTTGTCTCGCACTCGGGACCCTTCTCTGCAGGTGGCCTCGCCCGGATGAGGCGTTGGTAACATTTGCTACTCCGGCGTTAGCGCGACAGGCAGTGTCCGCGAGGAACAACCGCGATTCGGTGCTTTTCGTGGAGCTCCTATCACAGGCGCGGGTGGAGAAGAGGACAGGTTACAGACGAGGTAAAGACCAATTCTGATGGTGTTCGGGTTTCCAGATTTTTGGTGGGAATCCCATGGAGTTTCCTCCTCTCACGTGAATCGTCCGTATGCCAGAAACAGAACATAAGCATGTTCCGCGCGACGGTCAAACACGCGTTGTACTGCACACGTCACACATCCGAACACATGGGCTCGTAGGCTTCGCTACACAAGATAGATGGTTGTAGTCCAGGCGGTAAGCCGGTGGTATCCAGGAGACGGCAAGGATAGCTGAGACACCCAGACAATCCAGAGAGATCGCAAAGAGTGAGGCTGACCACCGAACGTCGAGATAAGCCACACGTCAGTATTTCCTGCGCATGCATTAACATGCCGACCGACACATCAGATACCGATAACGCGGATGATACTCAATGAGCGTACTACTGAGGATTGAGTACGGCCATAAAGGAGATGCATTGTATACGTCTCCGTAGCAGAGGGGCCGCCGCCACGCACAATGCCTTCAAGATGGTGTTTCAACATTTCAACACATCGCTGCAAAAAACTTACAGATTTGTGAGATTTTGATTGCAAACCTTGACAAATTCGTCCTAGGTGGAACGCGGTCCGTTTTTGTTTTTGCCATTCCCACAAAAATCCCTTGGTAGGTGGTGCGTTCCTTTCGAAGAATCCTAAGTTGGACGTCAAATCCGAACGCCACGAGACTTGGTCTTGGCAAGGGACAAGCACTCCGGCTTGGGTGCCCATGGTTGATCGAAACTAATTAGAACTTCAAGTCTGATGGCCCTTATGATTTCCATTGACCCCGCCCTCCCTCCCCCCATGCCTCCAACGACTCTTCTCGGCCGGCAAACCTACGAAATACGAACTACTACTACTGCCGCAGTCGAGCTCGCTCGCCCCGGTCGACCCCCTGCCGACGCCTCTAGCGGTTCGAGATTGATCTTGGGCGCGCTGGGGATCCGTCGGCCAAAGCCAAAGACCGCGGACGCCCGATCAGCTCGAAAAAGCGCGAGTTCGAAGGGAGGGGTTAGGGGACGCGGAGCGAAGAATGCGCAGGCCCCCCCTGCGGAGAGTACCGACTCGTGGGACATGTAAAGTTAGGGAGGACAGGATGGGATACTTGGCACGGGCACGTAGGGGGGACGGCTAGATGAGTTTGTCGCGCTCGTATCTTACGTACGATGCTGATCGGGGGGTGTTCTTGAAAGGATTGATGTTTTGTGGCAATTCTTGCGGAAATAAGGGGGGCAAGGAGTCGGCCTGATGTAGAGAGCTTTGACGGTTTGCTGTAAACGTGTGTTTTCAGTTTGTTGTGAGGCGTGATGTGGGTGTCATACAGTTGTAAACTTGGGCAAGTCGCCCGTGAACTAAATTTTGCGTTGAGTTCGCTCTACTCGTTCCTAGCACAACATTCTGGTTTACTAGTTTGGCGAATGTACCGCATGCCGCTGAACAGCTGTGTACCGCCGCTCCGTAGGTGTTCCGCTGTCGTTGTTTGTATGCCGATGAACGTGATGGCGACGACTATGCCAGCCATTGCAAAGCGGTGGGTAGCGAATTGCAAGCTCACGTTTTGGTCGGCATTTCTGCACGTACAAAATAGCGGCAACCGAAGATTGGGAGAAAATGGCTTTCCCAGTTGCTTTGGAGGGCGCCGCACCATCAGCGAAACAGAATACGAGTCGCTTGAAAGAGTAGCAAGTCGATCATGAGCCCGGCATCGCTGCCGTCACGGAGTTAACACGCCTGCGGCGTTACACTCGTCTTCCAAGGCTTGTCCCCGCATCTTGCAAGCCTCCTTAACCTACACAGTCAAGCATTGGCAGCTTTGTTCGGGGTTATTCAAGACTTTCTTGGGCAAAAAAGGTCATCCATCCATTCGTACGCCTTCTGTCCCCTGTAATCGATACAAAAAGTCTGACGCCGGTTCACCAAAGTCTATTACGTATATTATCGTTGGACACCAACCACACCACCAACGCCAACACTTAGCGTCATCCTCAGCAACACTCTCACACTCGTCTCTTCCTCAACACATGGCCTGAAAAATACTAGCACCCCGTGGCACGGAATACGGTAGAGTGCTCTTATCGCTCCTCAACTACATGGGGCAAACTGACGGGAGAATCCACACAAAACAAATGTGGTACTATCTGCACATTTCCCACCACTGTCGACCTCGATCACACCGATGTCCAAAGTTCCTCCGCATGGAACATGACGAACGTTCGAGTTGCACACTGCAATTTGCACCTTCCCTACCTTGCCCGCAAAGTACAACCCTATAACAGCAACGTTGTCCTATCAACGCTCTATGACCACATCTACTAACAACACCGGCCACCAATCGGTCTGTACTGCTTCCCAAGGAGGCGTAGCCACGGCAGAAACCCTTCCTACAAAGTATTAATGAGGTGGCTCATGCGGCTGGCCTTCGCTTCAAGGTAGCCGTGGTTGTGCTCGTTGGCGGGCACCTCGACGGGAATGCGCCCCTCCACCTTGACCCCCGTGGCCCTCAGCCAATCGATCTTGAAAGGGTTGTTGGTCATGAGTTGAACACTCTGAGGGGGTGAAACGAAACGACACGAAAAAGAACGCGGGTGGGAGACATGTACTTGAGTCGGACAGCAGGTAGGGAATGCCGAATGCATCATTGAGGACGTGCTCAACGACAGCAAACAAGTCAGTCAGTCTCGATGGAGCTAAGAGATAGACATCAAGAGGCTGCTATGATGTGTGCGACTAGTCGGTTCAACGGCGATGTCAGGTTGGAAACCGATAGCACCCTTGAATTTTGCAGTCTACAGAAGCGTATATAAATACCTAGCGATGAGTTGGTAACTTAGCGGACGGAGGCTCTGATCTTTGATAAAGTGAGACTTTCGTTAACGCTCGACGGTCGACGGGTGAGGGACAAAAAAACCAACACCACGGAACGGTTTCGCTTGAAAATATCTTCAACAGGCTGCGAACGAAAAGCTCTTCAATCCTGAAAGAATAGATGATTTGGCAACTGCGATGGTTCGAGAGGTGATCCATGTCAAAAATCGGGGGTCGATCAACAGAAGAAAGGGAAAGCAACACGCGTACAGAGGGGACCATCAAACCTCAGTCTTAAAGGGAAAAGGATACTTTTCGCCAGCTCGTCGCAAACTTGGTTGCCTTATGTCAAACCCAAACGCGTTGTTCGACACCACTCCAGCACCATACTCCAGGTGAGCACACGAGACTTGATATGGCCAGCATTGCACGGATTTGTCAGAGCTTAGCAACCGTCAGCTCACTTTTATCTCCATGTCTCCAAGGATGAATTCGACACACTCGTACGAGCGTTCGTCGTCTCCAAAGCCGAGTTGTCGATTTGCTTCTACAGTGTCCAGTCCATCATCCTGTCGAGAAGAAAGCACGGCGTTACACTCGTGACCCAGGATTGGTGACCCTCAGCAAGAGAAAAAAATAATGTGTCGTGGGTACAGAGCTGGGAGTGACCGTAGGTTGGGAGAGGGAAAAAAAGTACACGACATCGATCGCCAGCATGGCCTTCCAGCTACCCAACGGTCAATCTAGGGCATCTCATATATGGTCCCGGACATCGGTATTTCTACACAGCAGTAAAGCGCATCCTTTGCAGCACAGCAGCGGCCTACGTGAGAGCTTGGTGTCAAGGTAGTAAGGTGTGACTTGCAGGTCGTCACGAATCCCGCACTACGAAAGGATGGCAGTGCACGCAGCTCACACCTGGAGCGCGTACGCAGCGACCTTGTTCGCTAGCCCAATTCCGCGGCCCTCCTGCGCGAGGTAGATAACAGCGCCGCCCCCGTGCTCCTGGATGTACCGCAGCGACAAGTCTAGCTGCTCCCGACAGTCGCATCGTTTCGACCCGAGCACCTGCAACGGGACACAAGCAAGAAAATTCTGTCCTTAGCGCGCTGTAGCATGTGGAGGTATGCAGAGGGATTTTTCTGTGTGACCTGGATCGGAACTCTGCAGTCTACAAAGGGGAGACCACATGCAGACGGTAACAATTCGAGCGACGGTTTCGAGGTGGAACAAAAAGAATGGCACGCCCGGTCGCAAGTGTGAACATATATGCCGTATTGCACGGGACCCAGTTTAGTTTGTCTGCACGAAATCACGGGGCCCCGTGTACGTGGAGATACACCACAGCAGTGGGTGGCGGTATTAAATACGATACAATGCTCCCTCCCTTGTCACGCGAACTCTCTATCTCCACCAATGTCATACATATATACCTCCGAGGTCTGGCACTGGTCGTGGACTCGCACAGGTACGTTCTCTGAGGACACCAACACACACGGAGGAATAACAAGGGGGAGAGGTCAGCTATTACAAGCGTGTCGGCCAAAAAATATTCGGTCACAAACGTACAATACCACGTCGGCACGCACAAAGGCCGTGGGACAGATTTTAAGCCCGCCTCGGCCAATCAACGGTCTCCAATAATTAAACGAAAAGGCTGGCGTCTTGTCTATTTTCGAGTGGTTTCGGCAATTTCGCCGCTTTCGGGGCACCGTACCTAAAACCGCCACCAACCTTGCAGCCGGGGAGTTGCAACCAGTGCACATCACACGCCCACAGCAGGAATGGAACCAGCAGTCTACACTGGGCTGTGTAGTGCCACAACAGCGACATCGACTCGGAGAACACAGCAGCACAAAACCCACAACAGCAGCGAGTACTGTAGCGCATCACACCCACCCACCCATGTCGAGCGAGTTCCCGCCCAGCGATGTGAGTGTGTGCGTGCACGTGTGCACCTTTATCTTCACACCCATTCTCGCGGCAGAACCATCTCAACAATGTGTTGGTACTCTTGGCAACCCGTCATCTGTTCTACTTTTACGTTGTAAAATATACGAGTACACGGTAACAATAAGAGTAGGAGAGATGGCACCCCCGAGTCAGCGATCTCTCCGACAATTACGGGTAGTAGGCATCATCACTCAATCAGGCCGAACGTAGTTCGCACAGATGCGCCCTCGTCCCTTTTATCGAGACCGGATAGTTTGGTGAGCGGAATATCTGTACGGTTGATTATTTGGGGGCGGCGACGACACATCCAAGCTCTTGCGTAGTAGCTTTACTTCATCTAGGTTCAGTCAACATGTTGATCCGACGCATCGGTTTCCGACGGCGGCCGCGGTTCACACTAGAAACATCTCGACTTTCCGAGGAATGGCATCTTCCCGCTCTCAATCAATCCCTTTTACAAAATGAGTGTCCCGCTTACCATCGCCGCAAGTACGCAGAGAAATTGCTCAACGGACTGGAGATAAATCGGAGGCAACGTAGGTACAACACGAAGGTGACAGCGGTCGCGAAAAAGAGCCGTTTCATGCATTCTCGCGACATAACATCCCAAAATCGTGTTTTCTAGAAAAACGTCAACAAGCAGCTGTCATTTCAGCTAAGCTTTCCGTACAAGTGTGACGACACTGGAATAAATATCCCCAAGGGGATTCTCTCGGTGATTCTACAATTGCATGCACATTTTCTAAGCATGCTCACCCTCTTCCCCCCCAGCAGCTGCTGTGCTTACCTCGGCCTCGCACGTTCCCCGCAACCATGACCACAGGTTCGTGCGTCTTGACCCCGTCCGCATACCGATAGGCTCGCAACCGGAAGTTCCCCTTTTCGGTGGGCAAACTGCACTCTGATACGAAGGTCGTACAGCCGTGCCCTGCGGCCTTTGCTTGAGCCGCTGCCCGCCCCTCCGGGGCACGCGGGGTGGCATCGCTTGGTGCCACCGCTCCCGCTCGTTTCCGTTTCAGCCCGCGAATTGCGCCGTCGGCCCGCCGCGCGTCTCCTCTCGCGGCGCCGGTCTGGCTATCCTCGAAGCAGGAGCCATCGCCCCTTCGCAGCTGCAAGATCGCCGTCCAGTACGCCTCGGCAGCCTTGCCGACGAACACCCCACCGAATAAATGCAGGCTACTCTCCACCCCAGCGCAGGCAAGCGAAGATGCGACACCAAGACCTCCTGTGGTTGAAGTCAAGTCTTGGTTGGAAGGTTCCCTCGGCTCATCATCCCCAATCACTCCCTCTGATAACATCAGCAGAGGTAATATCTTAAAATCACAACTGATACCTTGCCGTGTATTCTACCGGAGGGTTGTCCAAGGCTTCAGGGTCAGGAGGGTGTATGGGGTAACCTAACGCTGGAGTCCGGTGTCGTGTGCCTCGATCACGCGTACGTGGTCGGGGGAAGGGGGTGAAAAAAAAACCGGTAAAAAAACACACGGAGGCGGTGTTCGTTCATCCCGACAGTACCGCCAAGGCCGGAGACTTGCCGAAGAGCAGTTCGACATGTCAACGTTTCGGCTGCCGAAGTGCAAACGCTCTGGGTCCCGCCATGCAAAACCTGGAAAGACAAGCTCTGCTGCGCCGTGTGCAAACCGATTTCTTCCTCCGCGGGAACAGACCGCATCGCCGGAATGTCTGAATCGACAGCTGGTAGGGAAAAAAAGGTGAGGACACCATATGTAAATAGACTAATGGTCTACAGATGGACGTACTTGCCCGATGTTCCTCAAGTACTGCTGTACAGCAGTAGTGACCGCAGTCATCTTGTGCTTGTTGTCTTTTCAACGCCTGATTCGACTTCGTTCTGCACACCTCCAGTATTTCCGCCGTTCAAGAGTAGTAAACCGTATTACTCTGTGTCTCTGATTATGGTCTGTAGTCTAGAGATGGCCGCTGTGACCAAGTACGTGGATAGTTTGATGACGACCGAAAGCGACAATGAATGGCAATGGAAATGGACTTCGTGCGCCTTGCGAAGTGAGTCGGCATGTCGGCATAGAAGGTCTAAAAGAGGAGGGTTGTTTGGTTGACTGGATACAATGCATATGAGGAAACAAAATTGCGTAGAAGCGAATGTTCTCGACCAACATTAGAAACGATCAACCTAACAAGCCGATACAGAGCACATCAACTGTGCGCCAATCAATCAAGTGTTGAGCCCTGTCGAGAATACGTGAGAGGTGTTTTCACGACAAGGCCGGTGTTGCATCATCCAGACTTTCGCGTTGATTGTACGGAAGATTCAGAGGGACAGGATCATCATTGTTGTACATCGTTCTCAGTTCAGCAGATTCATCGCAAAAAGTCAACCCAGAGGAAAGGCGCGTACTTCCAAGATGATCACCGTCTACCACGTTCATCAGTAATGTTTGTCATCATGAGGCGTCACACACGCCAAGAGAGCGTTGACGGCTGAGTTCAGGCAGGACAATTCTAACCGCTGCCACGGAACATAAAAACGGCGCAGAGCATCGCAGAGGTCTACAACAATTCGACCACAGCCAACCGTTAGAAGGGACAGCACCCCCACTCTTGTACTTCAACAGTCCTGAACCTGAGCTGTCTGATGAACAGCAATACCAGGATGTCTGGAGAAGAATTGCTGTTCCAACGCGGCAGGGTTTTCAACAAACACAGAATCACCACACTCACCACAGTAGCACAGTGGCTGATTGGTTGGTACGAAGGATAATCCGACGAAACCCAAACACGTCTACACAGTACAAGAACACGGCTCTATCCAAGAGCAATTCTTGCAAGCCCTCTAGCAGGTTTTGGTGCACTTCGTCTTGCAGTTCTTGGTCGGTCCGACTCGCTTCGACGAGATCACGATCTATCGCAACCCTTGCCAGACAGGCGATCAACTCCTCTCATCGTTGTTGAAGCACTATATTGTAGGTGCTACCCGTCCGTTCATTGTCCTGTGAATGAGAAAAATAACAATAAATTCGTGAGAAAGTTCAGCTGGGACAGATGAGTCGGTCTGTGGTCTCGTTTTGGTATTCGGACACCAGCTAACCTCATTTGTAGAGTGACGACAGCATCTATATACCATTATCGAGGATGCCCCTGGCCCGCCATTCTGATATGACGGTAGTGCTTCGTGGCTGCTTCTTGGTACAATATGGCTTGAGTGTTGTTCATTTTGGTGTGGCATGTTCGGAGGGAATTACCTCAACAACAAAAGTTGCCCTTCTGATCGTTGTTGCGCTTCCCCGGCATTGATTTTCTCTCTATTTTTCCCTCCTCTCTAACTCCCGGCTCTCCCCGTCGCCGGAGGACCCGGGGGCGGGCGGAAGGAGCGGGGAGTGCGGTGGGAAGGGGGGTACGGCCTGTAGGGAACCATTTCTGAGTTTGACCAAGAAAACGCGAGCAAAACAACGATGTGAGCTTTCGAACGCACCATCAACCGCTGGGGGAAACCTGCTCCACATTTCAGCAATGGCGTTGTCAACCCGATCCCGGAGCCGCTCGCCCTCTTCCTCTTCCTGTTGGTCAACGGAGAACCCGAGGGGTAGGGACTAGCGGTAAGCATAACGAACTACCACAAGTACAAAGCACGGTGGTACGGCAGCTGGGAACGATGGGGGTAGGTAAGTCATTATGTTGCAGTCGTGGCAACACGTCGGGCAACAACGCTGATGATGATGCCCTTATCGACGAAGGTCAACTCTAGAACTTCGCCCCCGCTCCTCTCCCCGCCAACACCATCTACAGATTCTAGATGCCCTCGCCGAGTGTCGGAATCACCTTCTCTGCCGCTGTCGACTCCTTCTTGGACACCGCTAGCGCAAGTCGAGTCAGCAGCTCTAGATCGTGGGCGTACACCGGCTCATCATCGCCGCCACCCTCGACCTCTCTCTCGCTGCCGGGGGCAAAACTGAACACGTCCGTATATCATGGTTACAGCAGTCCGGTCTTTTGTGGGCTGATGCCCCCGTCCCCGGCGAGGTACCCCGGCGAGAAGAGAATATCGCGCTTTTTGTGCTAAAAGCGTGCGATTTTCGTACTTCGAGCTGAATCGCAGCCAGAATAGGGACGTTCTAAATAGGAAAAAAATGACCAGAAAAAAAACGACCCGATCCGTCATAAAAGTATATGGGAAACACGGAACGGGTTATAGATTTTCTGAGACACGCTTTGCTCTACACACAACAGGTCGACTCAACTTTGCTCACCCTCACCATAGAGCAGCGGTACAAGCACCAACAGTAAAAACACCCGGCACGTCATCTCCTGAAAGCGTCTCCTGGAAGCAATTTTCGACTTTCGATTTAGGAAAAAGAGGCGCCAGGCCTCTACTTTTCTATATCTGAACTAGGTTATCCCCCGCTTTGATGTTCTCCCGCTTTGAGGAACGTTCCCAGCACTGGACCCTTTATCGTAAATCTAGGAGTTCCAATCTACCGTGTTCCGAAGTGTTCCGAGCTCCCCTATTGTAAGGGTTTACATGGTTTAATGAACTTAATGGTTTTTCTTCTTCGGGGTAAAATTTTGTGATTTTTCGTATTTTTTTTTAATTCTTAGAAAATGTTTTCTTCATATTGTAACATTTCCGATTTTTTACTTTTTTACTTTTTTTTCTACGTCTGGAGGATCGGGCGAGAACCACGTAATCGAGCCGAGGTCGTTCACAGCAGCCCGCCGCAAGAGACAGCGAGATCATAGAGGACCTACACCGGTCCACTGGTGGAGGAGGGAGTGTCTCTCAACGGTATTCACGAATGCATAGTAGTAGGTTTACAGCACATAGTGACATGTACGTTTTTTGAGACTCAATGTGGACAAGACTTGGAGACAGGCGTCTCACCTCCGCTGATTGGAAGTGCTGTCCAGCGCGTTCTGCAGTATTAAGTAGGCGCCGATCACATCACCGACAAACCAGCTCACCATGAACACACACAAGCCAGCAGATACCACCACCATTGTTCTGAGTTGGACAAACAAGTGCGACGAGGTAGGTTGGGACGTGTGAGATGAAAGGATACTGAGGCGTGGACGTTGACGTGCAAACCGGGAGAGGCAAGCAACAACGGCCGTGGCAAGCAAAAACCAAACGCACCACGGTTCAACAACATAAGACGCAATCAACCGGAAAGGTGTGCTTGTTTGTCCACGGCGGGTGGGTCTAAGCATACCTTGGGGCCATCGGCGCCGGGTGTCCGAAACCCTATCTCTTGTTTCATGTGGAGACCACCTTCATAGAGGTACAATCTCCCCAACGACTATCGAGGACGATTCCCTCTTTTCACAACGGCGTCGAGACGGGTGTTTGCTTCGGGTTGTAAAAAAAAACACGAGTTCAAATCCCGCTGCTCACCCAAATTTTCTTCCGAAAAAATAGATAAAAAACAAAGAAAAACGGTGGGTGGGCCAAGAAGGACCCACTGGCAATCGAACTCGGAATTCCTGATGACGTGGCGGACGTAGCGAACCCGTGTAATCACGCACAGAGGATTGTGAAGACGTGAATCACCCCGCCGCCGGCCGGTCGGGTTCCGGTTACCCCTAGAAGACTTCTCTTGCCTAGCAAACAAGAACAAATCTTGAAAAAGGGGGGGGCAATGTGGAGACCACCTCCATAAAGGTACAATATCCCCATTGTCTGTCGACGACGATTCCCTTTTTTCACATCAACGGCCATTTTTTCGTTGTGTGAATGGGCACCAGCAGCAAATCCACTACATCGTGTACTGGAGACAATAGTTGATACTTATGTTTCTCGGTTGTGCCTGTTGTGAGTTATGTGCCTGCTGTGGGGCGGTCGATGCACCGAACATTGGTATTTGTAGAATCGGCTGGACACCGAGCCGCGGTGATACACCACTGACCCGCGAAAGGAAACGAACTACTACTATGTAGGGAAACGAAAGGTCATAGCGAGGGTAGAGTACTTTGTCACCACAGACGTTACACACTGTTGCAACCTTAAGGTATACCGAGCAAGCATAGCACAGAAAACAGCACAGAGCACAGCACAGAGCACTAGCAGAATGTCCTCAGCGGATGCTGGGGACGTACGACCCTTGTCAAAAGGTTCTCTCCACATGGACCCCCCCCCCCCCCCCCCCCCCCC